GCTGGGGAATTCTGGGAGCTGAAGTCCACACGCCTTAAAGTTGCCGAGGTTGAGAATCACTCATCTAAGATCTTTTTCACATATACTGTTCCCAAGGTTAGGGTTAGTATACTATACCTGTGCATTTAATTTCTTTTTGCTAAGCAAAGATCCTTCATTGGTTTCCCTTCATTCTCTTTCAGCAATTTTCACCCCATTTCGCTAAGCAGTCAAGATTGCTTTGCCTTTTCTTTGTGGCTTCCTGGTTATTAGCAATCCCACATGGCTTGGTATCATCTGCAGCTTTGATCCTCTTTCTTTTTGCCTTCATTCAAGTCATTAATGAAAACATTGAGAAGTATCAGATCAAGAACTGAGCCTTAAGTTGTCCTCCTTGAAGCTTCACTCCAGGTTGATGAGGAACCATTCACAAGCCCTCTTTGAGGATGATTTTCCAGCGACTTGGGGATGTTAACTAGCTTAATCAGAATGTTCTAAGATTTGTTCCTGACAAATCCATGCTGGCTTGTAATAATCCTTATGGGGCTTTCAAATGCTCCCAGCTCCATTGCTTTACCAGCTGCTAAAAAATCCTTAAAAATAATTTCCTGGAACCTTTTCTAGAAGGAGCTCCTAGTTGTTTTCGTGAGCTCCTGTGGAGATGGGTCAGTGAGTATCACCAACTCTCAGCTGTAGAGAAGTCTGGATAATCAGCATCCTGTCTCTATTTTAGTAGTAATACTTCTGATCTCGTCTTACAACATGCTAAACCATAAGATAGTTTCATAAGTTTTTGGCATAGAGTGTTGCGGGATTCAGACAAGGTGGTTGGTAAAACGTGAATGTGTTGTATGAACCCAGCCCAGCATGATCATTTCAACAAACAAGAATTAAACAATTCCCTTTTCTCTCTTCCCTGCTCTTAGAGTTCCTCAGCATCAGGGACCTGCAGCTTCCAAGAAGTTCTTAAATCCAGTTGGAGACTCCACGGTTTTCCCCTCCAACCACGGCGGAATCGGTCAAGCCCACCCTCTGTCGTGTGGTCATCTATTTGCAGAAGGAGATGTCTGGCGACACCTGCTTAACCACCATCTGCCCTGCTTCGGGAGCGAAGCCAAAGAGCTGCAGTTCGAAAGTCGGCACCCTTGGCAATAAGTACGTGCGACTCAATGTCGGGGGCTCCTTGTATTACACCACTGTGCAGGTGCTGACACGCCATGACACCATGCTGAAGGCCATGTTCAGTGGAAGAATGGAGGTGCTCTCCGACAAGGAAGGTGAGTGCTGAAAAAAACAGCAAAGGTGAGAGCCTACAGCAGTGTTTCTCAACCATGGCAGGTTTCAGATGGGTGGGCTTCAACTCCCAGAATTCCCCAGCCAGCAAG